AAAAAAAAAAAAAAAAAAAAAAGACCACAGAGACAATATGTGTAACTTTCCATCTATTAAAACAGTCATTTATGATTTCATACTTAAAATATTTTACTCCTTAACATTACTTACATGCTACTTTTAAATAATGTTAACATTAAAAAGGACAATTTCAGAACCTATTAAGTTACTGGGAAGAGTGAAATTCCTGTTACTGGAAGTGTGCAAATATCCCGCAACTTGGTAAGAGAACTGTGACTTCTCAGCGAAAAGACTGCAGATAATGCATCCTCCTGACACATGCCTCCAGCCTCTCCAAAGCCTATGATAACAAAACTCAAAACCCACTTCCCCAAAATGACATTATAAAACCTTGGGCTGGATATAAGACTAAGCGAGGGGCTGATGAGAAAGTTCAGTGATTGAGGGCCCATACTGCTCTTGTAGAGGTCCCAAGTTTGGTTCCCAGCACCCATGCTGGGCAGCTCACAAACACTTGCAACTCCAGCCCCAGAAGATCCAACATCTTTTGGCTTCCTCAAGCACCTGCACTGACTTATACAAACCTACTCTTGATACACAAACATACATAATTAAAAAAACAAACAAACTAAAACTGAATATCCCATGTCCTGCTTGCTACCAGAATACCAAGAGATTGCAGATGGTAATGCAAAGACACAGTTCATTCTGTGTGAGCAAATGAACATGAGCACAGGTAAAGGAAAATCACTTGATGGTCAATTCTCATGTTAAAGAACACTTTATTATTCCAAAGATATAAATGCTTCATTCAAGTAGTTTTTGGTCATTGTGGCTTTTGATCATTTGTAATATAATTAATACATTTCCTACTGTGCCATTTCAACCAGCAGGCATGATTCTAGTCAGAATGTGAATTCAAAATGGGACGTCCTTCCTACTCAAAGGAAAAAGTCCTTTTTTTTCTTCTTCTTCTGTAGAAGAGTAGAGCATATAGTGGCAAGCGGTTTTGGCTCTAGAAACCTAACAGGAACGAGGGTGGAGTCAGTGGGAAATAAAGCCAAAAGTGTAATGAATGCTTACAGCCACTTCTGCTCAAACTTTCAAGCCCAGGTACTTCCACTGTGGAACCCTGTCCACTAGATGTTAAGTAAATGACAATCCAGGGAAGCAGTCCTGGGAGGATCAGAAAGCATGCATCTTGACCTGGGAAACTCACAGGAGTCTGTTCTGGTACTGAAGGGAAGGCCACCCTTCAGCAGGTGAGCATGTGGTGAGCAGGAGCACTGCAGATCTTTCCTGGCCTTGTTCTCTACCTGCAGTGCCCATTACCGACAGCTAAAGCACGCACTATGCATACATTCTGCAGCATTTTTTAGATTCGATCAGATCTTTGTTAATAAAAGAAAGAAAATAACTTATCAGGTAGGCAAAATACAACTTATTTTTCCCTCCACTTTTTTTTTTTAATCAAATTATATATCAACTGATGTATTTTGTGTGGTATTGGGGACTTGGAGACTGAATTTAGACTCAGACTTACACATACAAGTACACTATCAGTGAGCCATAATTCTAACTCCACAGCCAATATTTTCTTTCTTTTTTGGGGAGGATCACTATGTAGCCCTGGCTATGTCTGAAACTCACTATGTAGACCAGGTTGGTCCCAAATGCACAGAAATCTGCCTGCTGCTGCTTGCTAAATGCTGAGAATAAAGGAGCCTGACATCATGCACCGAAATCTACTTTAATATAATTTTTTAATAACCAACTTTTTATAGGGTGAAGCACAACTGTGTAACAAAAATAAGACTGTTATACTACAACAGCTGATTGCATGCTTAGCATATGCAAAACCATAGATTGAATACCCAGCAACAAATATTTAGAAGCAAGTAATTTTATCTCCCCTTATTGCTGACCAAATGGCTGGATCTCTGACATGAAAAAAGACTACAGAATTTAGTACTACGTGGGTATCTTGAGAAATATATTAAATCAATATTTATGAGCTTAGACTAATGGATTTTTTTTACTTACCCATGTTTATAGGTTCCTTGAATTTGAGCAATATTCAGATTACTACTCAGGTTTCTTGCCAGAGCTGTAGGAATAATGGGGATAGGCTTCACAGGCACACATTTGAAGGAATTTGCTAGCGTTATTGCTGCCCAATGCAAGTCAAAATCCACACCATCCAAACTCTCCCTGGAGGTGATTTGAGCTCGCAGGGAAAGCAGCTTTCCACAGTCCAAGCAATCTTTGCTACATACATGGTACTGCAAAGCCTGAGGAACCAATATCATAAAATTATAACTTTGAAATGCATCCATAGCTTTCAAGTTCTTAACATTGTTATAGACACCTCTGTAATATCTTACAATGACAAAATTAAATTAGTTCTAATTAACATTTCAATTCTCATTTCTTCCACACGATCAAAAGATTATGTGAGTAATTTAATCAGCAGTCTTAAGCTCCAACATAAGTTTCCAACTTGGATGTCTAACAGCTCTTCAAATTTTGTTTTTGTTTTTGAGACAGGGTTTTTCTGTGCAGCCCTGCTGTCAAACTCACAGAGGTTTGTCTGCCTCTCCAGTGCTGGGATTAAAGGCATGTGTTAATACTGCCCAGCTACTCTTCTAATTCTTGCTGGGCAATTATCACCTCTAATAAATTTTACTATACTGGGGGTGGGTGGTGCTGGAGTATGTAAATTAATTATGACTTAGCCTTAGAGAATCTCAATCATTCCTTTTTGGTTCCTTTTTCAAATTATTAGGGTAACTCTTCTTCCATATTTATCCTTCTTTACTATGCCCTTTCTATCCTTACTGCTACATGTGAGATAGATGTATACAGACACACACACCTAATACACATCCAACCTAGTGGGCCATTCTCTCTGGCTTCAGTCAGCTTTCAGAAACTTCCAATAACTACACAAAAATTTCCTTTACCTAAAAAAGTCTCTCTATAATCTGACTAAACAAATATTCCAGTCTAATAGCCCTTAGCAGAAGTTTATATACTACTAGCAACCTTGAGCACTTCCCGAACTTTCCTGTCTTGATCACATCTCTTCCTCTTCTGGAATATTTCTCTGGCCTCAGAAACCACATTACCTTGGATTTTTATGTCCACAATAATTCAATCACAGATCATTACAAATAATTCTCATTACAGACTTATTAAAATACTATAAACCACACACAGTACGATTCTTACATGTAATTAAAAACATCATCTGCACTTCAGACACAGGACTCAGGGGACCTGAGCTGGACATGACCCAAAGCCTCCTCCCAGAGGACTAGCGTTCAACTACTAGAGGTGCCATGCCAACTTCCAAGGGAGGCAAGCAATTAGTGCTCCCCACCTGTGACACCTATGACCCACAACAAGGAAGCATGGCACACTAACCATACAGGAGCACTAGTGGAACACATATCAAGGTCGTAACCAACAGCTTTCTAATTGGACTTCAAACCCACTCAAGAAAGAAATTATGTCGGTGCTGAAAACATGGCCAACTGCCCAGGGCTAGAAAAGTCATGGATTCTGGAAAACCTTCAAGTTTACTGAACTACATAATTCCCAAGTACAATCTAAATATTTATCTATCCTCAAACAGGTAAGTTGTAATTCTCACCCCTCATCAAAGAAACTTGTCTTTGTAACAGGAGGCCATTACAGAAAACCACAACCAATCAAAATGCAGAGATTAAGTTCCAATGGGTACTTCTATAACACAACTCCTGTACCCAAGGCCCAGGGGTCATTGCTGAAGAGGACAGAAAGATTGTAAGAGCCAGAAAACGGGACGTTTGCTGTGAGATTGTCTCTACTAGAAATGCCAGAGAGGCTATACAAATGAAGTCTCACCAACATGGCCGCCTAAATAAATCCCAAAGAATGACACCACCACCAATGAAGACGCTGTCGTGGAAGGCGGAACTCTCGTGAGGCCTCAACCTTACACAAAGGGCTACAGGCAACTGAGAATGTTGGGGGAGGGGGAAGTCTTCCCCAGGGAAGAGGACACTAATTGGTTATCCAATATTAAATGGTGGGCCCTGAGATAACAGTATACAGACGGAGTAGGTTGGAGCTGTGTGTGTCTATGTGTGTGGGATCTGTAACAATAATTTTTTTAAAAAGCCATAAATTTGAGAGAGCAAGAGGGATGTACATGGGAGGAAGGAAAGGGGGAGATGATGCAATTATAATTTCAAAAAATAAAAATTGTTATAAAAATGTTATGAGTGAATTTCACCTTTAAAGTTGAACTGAAGTCATCTGCATTATGAACTATCATATCTCTTGAACAAAGTCCTTGAGTATGAACTTTGCAGGGGATCAGAAAATCTCCAGGAAGAGACGCAGTAGGAGCTCTTTCTAAGCACTCGGGGACGGCTCGACCAGGATCAAAGCGATCCACTGCCAGTGTCACACCTTCTTCATCTGCAGACACAATAGCAACTGTTACACAGCATGCTAACTAAACACAGAAAACACCAAACCAAACCACATTTTAGCAAAGTACTTTGATTATACTGGTAGTATACTAAAATCTTACATTTAAAAAAATGATTTGCTGATAGTCTACAGATGACTACACCATGAATTCTGTAGTGGGTAGTTTACTCATTTTCATACCCATGGTGTATAGCAAAGATATTAGCAAAAGCATATACAGCAGCTGGCTGAACAAATGTACATTCTATAATAGCAACACAATATTTTTTTTTTACAACATAATACCTTCATCCACTGTGAGAGAACCAAGTAAGAAGCATGGCGCATTGTTTTTATTCTGCTTAGCATGACGATAAGCAAGTCGGATGGCCTTTTCAGTTACCACAAGTTTTGGCTTTCTGAAAAATAAAAGTCTCTTATGAATGTGGCATACCTGATTCCCTAAAAATAAAACCCTTCTATAAAGGACTGACTAATATTACACAGAGTTTGGCCAGGCGGTGGTGGCGCACGCCTTTAATCAATCCTAGCAGTCGGGAGGCAGAGGCAGGCGGATCTCTTTGAGTTCGAGGCCAGCCTGGTCTACAAGAGCTAGTTCCAGGACAGGCTACAAAGAAACATAGAAATCCTGTCTCGAAAAACAAAACAAAACAAACAAACAAAAACCATATATATATNATATATATATATATATATCACAGAATATAAAAAAGTACACAAAGATTACCATCAGGAGATCCCTAGTTATTGCCAAGTAACCCCATAATAGACAAGGCCACCTGAAAACCATATTGGCCATAAACTGACAAGAAAGGTACAAATGTCCCCCAGGCCTAACCTGGACCAGAGCACAAATTGATAAACCAAGAGGACAACAGGTTTCTGTAAATAAAGTTTAAGAGAAATAGTCACATTCACTTGTTTATATATCATTTATGTCCAATAACAATATTCCTGAATACCAAACATAAATAAATATATTTAAAACAAAAGATCTGGTCATGGTGGCATATACCCTTAATCTCAGAGCTCAGGAGGTGCAGACTTCTATAAGTTTGAGGCCAAGCTGGTCTACATAGTAAGTTCAGGCCAGGCAGAGCTATGTAGTCCCTATCTTTAAAAAAGGTGTGTGTGTATGTGTGTGTGTATGTGTGTGTGTGTGGAGTGATGGCTCAGTGGTTAAGAGCTCAGCCTGTTCTTCCAGAGGTCCCGAGTTCAATCCCAGCACCATCAGGTGGCTCACAATCACCTGTAATTCCAGTTCCAAGTGATCTAGCCTCTTTTGGCAACTGCACTAACAGGATTAAAAATGAGCACTAACATGATTAAAATAAAATAAATCTCCAGGCGGTGGTTACATACACCATTGACCCCAGCACTCGGGAGACAGAGGCAGGGAGATCTCTGAATTCAAGGTCAGTCTGGTCTACAGAGTGAGTACCCTTCCTAAGCAAATGAACTCTATAGTGTTTATTTTACTTTCTCTCTTTCATATTTTAATTTTTTGAGTCAGGGTATCTACACCCCAGACTGGCCTCAAACTCCCTGTGTAGCCAAGGATGACCGTGAACTTCTGATCCTCCTGCCTCCTCCTGAGATTAAGGCATGCACCAGCAGGTGTTTTATGTGGTGTTACAGATCGACCAGAGCTTCACGCAGGTAAGGAAAGCATTCTACCAATGAGCAACAACCCCAGCCAAGTTTAGACATGCTTGAAAAAGAATAATTCAGAACTTATAGAAATAAAAGATTAAATTGATTAAAAATTCAAAGGGTTGGGGCTAGAGAGATAGCTCAGCAGTTAAGAGCACTGACTGCTCTTCTACAGGACTGGGGTTCAATTCCCAGCTCACACTGTCTGTAATTCCCATTCCAGGGGACCCAACATCTTCACACATACATATACACTGGCAAAACACCAATGCACATAAAATAAATATTCAAATGATTACATAATCAACTGGAAACAGGTATACAACTGTTTATTATTTGATAAACTATACATATATATTATAAACATTCCTTCATACATATGGTATATCTACTTCCATATTTAAAAAGCAACCTAAGGGGCTAGAGCGATGGCTCAGAGGTTAAGAGCACAGGCTGCTCTTCCAGAGGTCCTGAGTTCGATACCCAACAACCACATGGTGGTTCACTATCATCTGTAATGAGATCTGGTGCCCTCTTCTGTTATGCAGGCAGCACTCTGTATACATCATAAATAAATAAATAAATAAATAAATAAATAAATAATCTAAAAAAGAAGAAGAAAAAGAAAAAAAGTCACTTAAAACTTAATGGTAGAACATTTGCTTAGCCTGCAAAGGCTCTGGTGGGATACTAAAGATGCTAAAAAAAAAAAACAAAGAGTAAGGCACAAACCACCTGAATGTATAAGCTCAACTAAAGAGAAAAATCAGTAGAACTAAAAATAAATTATTCAAAATACATTAGCACAAAAATCTGACAAAAGATTTAAAAATGGGGGAGCTGGGTGGTGGTGCACACACCTTTAGTCTCAGCACTCAGGAGGCAGAGGCAGGTGGATCTCTGTGTGATTTCAAGGTCAGCCTGGTCTATAAAGTGAGTTCCAGGACAGCCAGAACTGTTACAGAGATAAATCCTGTCTTGAAAAAGAAAAAGAAATGGGGGAAGGCAAGCATAACAAATACTTAAACGTCTACAGGTCGTTGTTCATGTGTGTGGGAATGGCTGCATGCATATGTGAGCCGTGTGTGTGCCTGGTATCCATGGAGGCCAGAATAAAGCAACAGATGCCCTGGAACTGAAGTTACAGATGGTTGTTAGCTGCTGATATGGGTACTAAGGACTGAACAGGGTCCTCTGTAAGAGAAGCAAGTACTCTTAACCACTAAGCAATCTTTCTAGCCCCAAGACTCTCTTTAATTTTTTTTATTACACTTACTTATTTGTGGAATTGGGGCAGAGGTGGTCCTGCACATCTAATATAATGTGTAAGGAGGGAAAAAAAGACAATTTGCAGGAATTAGTTCTCTCCCACCACCATGTGGGTCCAAGGGATCTAACTTAGGTCATCAGGCTTGGTAGCAAAAGCCCTTCTATTGAGCTATCTCACTGGATCAAAGCCCTTCCTTTTCTTGTCAATGGTAGCATTCCTCCCTGCAAACTACCTTAGAACTTGAATATTTTGACTTGTATATCCTCTATTCTCCAATCAATCATCAAATGCCATAAAACGTTTTCAAAATACCTTGTTTTAACCAGGTATAGTGACATATGCCTGTCCCAGCATTTGGTTGGTAGACAGGCAGGAGACTGTTCAAAGTCATCCTAGCTACACAGAAAATATGAGCGTAACCTGGGCTGCATTAGACCCTGTCTCAGAAAACAAACAAACAACAACAACAAAACCCTTGTTTTACTTTTTCTTCTGATCTGAATACTGCTGATTATTCTTATTACATATAATAAACACTATTTAGTAATTTATACTCCAGGTACCGTGCTAACTATTTTAGAAAGCCTTTCTCATGTAATCTTTGTAAAAGTCTATGAGGCCAAGAATGGTGGGGCATGTTATAATATTAGCATTCAAGAGGCCAAGGCAAGAGGATCAAAAGTTTAAGGTTAGCCTGAGCTACATAGTAAGTTCAACTCTAGCTTAAATAGTGAGATCCTGTCTCATAGAAACAAACTAAAAGACCAGGATGGTGGCACACACCCTGAGACAGGCAGATCTCTGTGACCTTAATTAATAATTAAGGCCAGTCTGGTCTACATGGTGAGTTCTGGGCCACCTGGGGATGTGTAGTAAGATCTTATATGGAAAAAAATTTTAAAGTACCAGGAAAGGATCATATGTTGCCCCTATAGGAGAGTGTTTAGCATGCTCAAGTACATGAAACATTCCAAAGGCTACATGTGATCCTTTCAAGGTATTTAAATTTATTTCATAAATCAGTAAACTGATAATTGACTACTTTATTAAAGTTATTTAAGTAAGAATTGGTTAGGATCAACCCTGTTTTGAAAATAAAAAAAAAAAGGTAGGCTCAGGAACTGAGGGTCCAGACTGCCTGACTCCAGTTGAGAATAACTTAAATCACCAAGGCAAAATCTAAGATGGGTGGCGGTGCCACATGGTTTTAATCTCAGCACTCTGGAGGCAGAGCCCAGCCTGGTCTACATATCAAAATCCAGGACAGCCAGGACACCAAGAAACCTGTCTCGAAAAAACAAAACCAGCCCATGATTCCTGATAAATACCTACAAACACAGACTTAGCCCTCTACACTATAACCTATCCTCTGTAGGACACTTCTTTTAGCAAGTAAGTCCTTAGACATAACATCTCAATGGATTACTATTGCTTTTAAGTTTAAACTTCCTCCAAAGTCCCAAAGAGGACTACATTATATGCCTTCTAACTTGACCAATGCCGTCTCAGCTCTGTGTTCCACACAAACGTCATGCTGAAGCACAAGAGACATTCCTACGATATTCAGAACCTTAGATATGCAGAACATTTTAACTATGAAATTAGGATTCTTTCTCAAAAATATATGGACGATTTAACACGCAGATGAAATTTTTATCTGATAGGAACTTTTAGTGAAAAAGTAAAGAAAAATGAATACAGTTAAACGTAGCATATCTGAAATCATCAAGACCACAGTACTTCAGGTTTGGGAATATTTGCATATACAAAATCGTGGCGATAGAACTCAAATCTAAATATGAGATTCACTTATGTTTATAAACACCTATAGTCTGAAGGTAATTTCATACGGCTGTATTTTATACATGAGTAAGATGCAGAATGGAGCACTTTTAGTATCTTGGTGACAGTCAGCAAGTTTCTCATTTTGAGGGCACGTGCCTTTGCCAGCTCGACCATCTTGTCAGTTCAAGTTTCAGACTCTAGAATCTGGGGAAATGGTTCCTACCAGGCAAGCACAAAGACCTGAGTTTGGATCTCATAAAGATAGGAACAGTGGCACTATCTGTATCACCCAGCATTTGGAGGAGTGGAGTGCGGGGGTAGGCTGGCCAGCAGTCTAGCTGAAAAGGCAAGTTACAGATTCAGTGAGATCCTGTTTCAAAAGCTCAAGTGGAGAGCAAGAGGGAAGACACTGGACATCAACCTCTGCCTTCTACAAGTGGACACACACACAAATCAAAGGGAAAAACAGTGGACTTGGGGATTTAGGCAGTCCAACTTATAATTAGTAATAACAATCAAGTCTGTCTTAATATTCTTTAATGATTGATGCTATACTGGTTTGATTTGAAAAGAGAAACATACCTGTAGTAACAGAGATGCAAGCAGATGAAATCTCCAATTGGCATTGGGTTCCAAAGAGCCAATTTTGATGGGGGAAAGTGAAAAGGTACCATCTTGCTTGAAGTAAACCTTTAAAAAAAAATTAAAGTACAAGGAAAAGCAAACAGGATAAATTTTATAAGAAACAGTTAATTCTCTTTGCCAGGCATTCCAAGTCCTTAAGAGGCCAAGACTAGGAATTCCAGGCTAGCCTAAAAACAGCTGAAGGCAGCAATGTGAAGAAGGTCTTGAACAGCAGTGCTTTCTCTGAAGAGTTATGTTGAATGTTGAACACATATGTAAAATGCTTCAAAATTATTTCTAATTCGTTGATAAGTATTTAATGTCTTTTTCTTTCATTTTCCACTCTACAGTACCTTTAAAGATCAGTCTATAATAATACTCTCCTCAGCACAGTAAAGAAAGGGTCATGCCATCTGAAATCCTAACTATAACTTTTATTAACTATATAATAGATTGATCAATACCTCTATGTTGTAGTTTATTAATTAAAAAATACTGCATAGAACCAGGCATGGTGGCACACACTTGGGAGGCAGAACCAAGCAGGTCTACGAGTTCAAGGCCAGCCTTGTCTACATAGTGAGTTCCAATAAAGCAAGAGCTATGTAGGGAGACTCTGCTCAAAATACATGAGAGAGAGAGAGAGAGAGAGAGAGAGAGAGAGAGAGAGAGAGAGAGAGAGAGAGAACGAATAAAAATATTTCAGTAGTGTGATACGACAGAAGGGTCAAGATTAAAAGGAATGTGATAGCCTCCCTGATCATGTTTCCTATTGTCTTTATCAAGAACATCTGGCACAGAGGAAGCAACAGGGAATAGAAAAGCTACCCATGGGCATAACTGTAGTTTATAAGAAAAAGAAAATCCATATGCCAGCATTAATTGTTCCTCTCTAGGGGCAATAAAATGATCCAAAGAACTAAATCACCCAGTCAGTGTGTCAGGTCCTCCATGTAATAACAGACTAAGAAAAGCAGGGACAGGTGGCCAGCTCCTCCTTCCTACTCCACTTAGGAAAACATGGCTTAGGGAAACATGAGGAAAACTGGGATAACCAATGTGAGATGGTTACCTGCAAGGACTCAGTGCTCAGACAGAAGGAACCAACACTTCCATTCCTCTAGGATGGAAGTAAGCAATCTTCTAATTTACAACCTCAGTTCAAGTGATTTCTCACCAATAAAACATCAATGTCATTAAGTGAGAGAGAAGAGAGAGCTAATATTTACTAAGTGCTCACTATATGCCCAATCCTTTAGTTTAATCAGCATATTTAATACCTTCCTGGTAATTGATTAAAAGATTTAAAAATTCTTACAGTGAATGAACTAGATCAAGGGATCCACGTAATTAAAGTAGGAGCAGATATTCCTGATTCCGAAGCCTGTGTTCTCTTTTCTCTTCCAGTATTCTGTCTCAAGTTAATGTGGGTAGCTGTAGTAAAACACTGCATGAAAAATATTTTAAAGCCAGGCATGGTGGCATGTGCCTGAGGTCCCAAAGCTTGAGAGGCTAAGGAAAGAGTATTTAAATGAGTCCCGCATTTCAAGACCAGCCTCAGTAACACAGCAAGACCTCCATCTCAAATAACTAAACAGTCAGGTACAGTGAAACATGCCTATAATCTTAGCATCTGGGAGAATGAAGGAGAAGAACTGGGTGAGTGTGAGGCCAGTTAGGGCTATATATCAAAATCTTGACTCAAAAAAATAAAATAGGACCTGGAGAGATGGCTTATCGATTAAGAGTACTTGCTTCAAATAGCAGAGGACCCAGATTTACTCTTAGCACATGTATGGCAGTTCACAACCATCTGTAGCTCCTATTTCAAGGTATCAGATACTCTCTTCAGGCCTCCTTAGGCACCAAGTAGGTATGTGGTACAAATACATACATACAGGCAAAACATTCATAAATATAATAAAAAGAAAGAGTTAAATACATAATCAATCAAATAACGTGTCTATACCTGGTATTCATCTGGTGCTTTTTATAGAGGAACTACAGGCTCTATACTTGGTGAGTGATTTATTCAGTTTCTGGTACTCAGTACCCTACAAAAATAAAAGGATATTGTTAAACATAGAAAAAGAAACATTACTTAAATACATAATGACAAAATTAATCTGCTTCTATGAAAAGTAACTATGGAATAATAAAATTAAGTACTGTAAATCTTGGTATATATTGTTCCTGCCTACAAATGCAAGGTCAGATGTTCAATACACAGAAAAATAAAAGATTAAATGTCAGCAATAGGTTTTGATTGCTTTCATACTTAAGTCATTCAGTCTATACACTAACTTTAATATTTAATTTGGTATACATATTCATTAAACAAGGCGTATGTTTTATCCCAAAATCGTTTTCTTTTTTATAAGACAAGGTCCTGATGGTGATGGTGGAACAAAACTTTAATCCCAGCACTTGGGAGGCAGAGGCTGGTGGATCTCTGTGAGTTTGAAGCCAGCATGGTAAAAAAGAGTGAGTTCCAGGATAGCCAGGGCTGTTACACAGAAAAAGCCTGTCTTGAAAAACAAAAAAGACAAGGTCTCAGGGTGCACAGGACTTAATCCCAGAATTTGGGAGGCTGAAAGAGATGGATCTCTGTGAGTTTGAAGCCAGCCTGGTCTACACAGTGAGTTCCGAGGTAGACAGTGTTTGCAGAGACCCTGCTCAAAAAAAAAAAAAAAAAAAAAAANAAAAAAAAAAAAAAAAAAAAAACCTAGACAAAATAGTAAATGCTGACCTATGTAGAAAGGACTAGACAGTCTGTACTTTGTTTGCTTCATTAGTAATTAATGAAACTATCCAGTAGGGTTTTAGACATATGGATTTGAACCCCAAGAGAGGCAGAAACTAAAGGTTTGCTGTGTGAATGAAAGGGCACAAAATATTAGAATACCCAGCAAGTGTGTATTTGGATCCAAACTATGAACACAGAGTCTTTCACAAGTCAGTTTGTGGGGACAGAGATTTCCTGCTTATCATCCCAAGAATGAGTTTGTTGAGTTCATTATAGCTGTTTATAAATTCACTCATAGATTTTCCTGTTTGGTGTGTGTGTGTGTGTGTGTGGTTTCCTAGGGGTTATGAGGCTTGTCTCTCAAGTTCTGGGTTACAGGTATGCACCACCAAGGCTAGCTAGCATTCATTGTATTTTTTAAGTCTTAATTTTTAACCTTTGTGCATTGTTTCAATTTTAGCAAAAAAGATACTGTCTGAGGCAGATGAGGAGGCTTAGAACTTGCTGAACAAGGCTAGGGACCTGAGTTCAATTCCCAGAAGGCAAGATGGAACAAAGAACAGACTCTGGGAAGTTGTATTCTGACACCCTCCCACCACACACTCTGAGGGACATACATGGTTTCCTGCTCTCACACACACATATCACACACACACACACACACAACAACAACAACAACAACAGTAATGATAACAATAGATAAAAATCTATGGCAAATAACATGGCTCAGAGGATACGGGTGCTTGCTGCCAAAACAACTGGGAACCTGAGTACCAAACAACTCCTGCAAGTTATCCTCAGATCTCCCAATTACACTGTAGTATGCGAGCGGTACACAGGCATACACACAGAGAGAGTAAATTTTAAACTCTAATAAAAATTTTAAAAGGAATTATCTGACTCAATTACTAAAGGATAACTAACACAAAAATTAAGTCATTTAGAAGATACCTTTTCCATAACACCCAAGGCTGAAAATACCTGCGAGAACAAAATTCTGCAGGATATGACCTTTAAAGATCAACTAAATGTCCCCTATAGAGATATTTCAGCTTCTTGAAATACAGGCTTTAACAAGAGGAGGAGGAGGAGGAGGAGGAGGAGGAGGAGGAGGAGGAGGAGGAAGAAGAAGAAGAAGAAGAAGAAGAAGAAGAAGAAGAAGAAGAAGAAGNGAGGAGGAGGAGGAGGAGGAGGAGGAGGAAGAAGAAGAAGAAGAAGAAGAAGAAGAAGAAGAAGAAGAAGAAGAAGAAGAAGAAGAAGAAGAAGAAGAAGAAGAAGAAGAAGAAGAAAAGCCTTTCTTTAGCACTTGGTTGTCATGGCAACAGTAATCACACTGATTACCGCTACCTCCACAAAGTAGCATATAAAGTGCCATTTTCCTTCACTAACAGGAATGTTTTTAAAGGCCTTATCTGTCTCTCCTCTTTCATGCATTAGGCCTTTTTCATTTGAAAACGATCAAATGAGATTTGATAAACTAGTTTACCTTGACAGTATTATGTAGAGCTAATGACCAAAACTGCACAAAACATATACCCAGCTATATAAAATAGAGTATAAAAATACTCTCCTCGGGTAGATGTTATCATCGTATAGCAAACAAGAACCAGTGGGTCGTCCTCACCTCTTCTCCCTCTTACCCAGAGTAAGTTCTTTCCAACCTCCCACCTCAGTTGACCCCGTCAGCCTCCCGGATTCAAGGACAAGTCCCTCCAGGGAAGACACAAAAGTGTCTACGAACAACAGGTTTTCTCCTGCTTAGAAAGTCAATGGTTTTTCTTCATATACAGAATAAAAAAGGCCTTCATAGTTACAGCCCTACCCAATCTGCACCCGAAACTCCTCGTCATTCATCCTCCATCTATCAGCAGTCTTCGATAGGACTGCACAGGCGGTCCTCCTCCTTTACTTCGAATTTCCTACTAAACCCTATTATCCAACTTCCACCTCGAATGTTAAATCTCTTATGGTGACATCACTGCCCCTGTGTTCTGACACAGTATTTCACACCTCGCTTCTGACAGAGGTCTACTTCCTGTAGGTCACCGACTATAAACACTAACAGTCCGATCAAGAATGCAAGAACAAGGACCAAGGTTTCAGTCCCCAAGAATTTTTTTACAGTGAAAGCAATCTGAGACACGTCACAAATGTAAACCTCTTTCACGTTCTTTAGCAGACAAGAGGCAAGGTTCTGACGTCCGTCCGCTTTCTTTCTCCCCTGGCGGCCCTGTGGTCACCGGTCCCAGCGCGCTAACGCGGACCGTCCCTCCCAGGCCACTTGTTACTCACCGTGCTTCCCGGGCCCTGCGGGCGCCTCGGGGGACCAGGAGCACGAAGATCCACCGTCGCTATCGTCACGGCCGCCGCCAAGCCGGGGTTTGTTTCTAGGCACCCTAAGGCCGGCTCCAAGAAGCGTCCCAGATGACTGTGGCCCCGCCTCTGGGACGTTGGGGTCGCGGGAACCCAGGCGGCAAAAGCCAGCAGCAGGAAACCGAAGGGCGCGCCGCGCCTGCTGATTGGCTGGAAGCCCGGCCAGTCCCGCGACAGGGCGGTCTTGTAGCGTCACGCAAAGTCTCCGCGGCCCTCTGCTGTGATAACCAATCGGATCCCGGCCTGGGGTTCGTTTGTCCAATCCCAAGGCTCTTTGGAGAGCCGAGAGCGCCAAGAAGGAACCGGATCACAACTCCGGTGATTTAAAACTACATTTCATCAACGGTTAAGTTCCGGGATGGGTTGGCCAAACCCAAACGCATGCGCAATTAAAAAAAAAAAAAATCCCGGCTGACTAGCCAGAATTGCTTCCTGCACTGATTGTGCTTTAATGGCTAGGATCCTCTCAACCGAACTTGGTGTTTCTTTTCCTGTTATTCTTGCACTCTCTGGAGACAGGTGCTGAGGCAGGGGGATCGCCGCGAGTTCCAGGCAAACAGATTGGGATTGTTTTAGAGACCCTGCCTCAAAAAGACTAGCGTCGGGTGTAGTAGGGTACCGCGGCGATAATCCCGGCCTTCGAGAGGTGGGTGGACGCAGAAGGATCTGCACGGAGTTCAAGGCGTCTACGTAGCAAATCCAAAAACAACCTGGTTTACAACCCTGTCTTAGGATTTAAAAGAAGTGTTTTCAAGATCTTTAATGGACAGAGATAAAGATAAAGAAGGTTATGTTTGTTCCAATTTGTTTCCTAAGTAGACTCATCAATTTTGAGAAATTCTCGTTGAACAAGAAAACCTGTGGAGTTTATACTTACTTCCAGTGCTAATAATATTGGGGATAGTTGTGGTGTGTGATTTGTGTGCGTGGACCTTTGTGTTCGTACGTGGAAACCAGACGTCCATGTTGGCTATTTTGATAATTGTTTTGTTTTGTTTTTCGAGACAGGGTTTCTCTCTCTGTAACTTTGGGGCCTGTCCTAGAACCACCTCTTGTAGACCAGTCTGACCTCGAACTCACAGAGATCCGTCTGTCTCTGCCTCCTGAGTGCTAGGATTAAAGGTGTGAGCCACCACTGCCCGGCTCCATATTGGCTAATTTTTTTTCTTTTTTGAGACAGGCTTTCTCTGTGGCTTTGGAGCCTGTCCTGGAACTAGCTCTGTAGACGAGGCTGGTCTCGAACTCACAGAGATCCACCTGCCTCTGCCTCCCGAGTGCTGGGATTAAAGGCGTGCGCCACCACCGCCCGGCGATATTGGCTATTTTTAAGAGATGATCAGGCATTGTAAAAATCTTTAAAAATCAAAAAGAAGAAAGTACATCTATAATGTTAGGGGAAGGTAGCAAGCTTAACGATTAGTTCATGTAACATTAAGATTTGTGTATCTTTTAAAAGGCAGGTGAAAACTAACCTAAATGCATTAAAGATTGTAGGTAATAATGTATCAATATTGGATTAACTGAAACATATGTGCATACTAATATAGGATGCTAAAAATAAGGGAAAGTGGATGGGAGGTGCTGTATCCTCATCTTTTTCTTTTTTCCCCCTGTAAATATGAGACTGTTTTGGGATGCAGGCTGGCTATACAGCATAGAGGTAGTGCACCTGCTCCGCATACGCAGGGTCCTCCGTTGAGTCACTAGCACCACCTAATAAGTAAACACTTTAAAAGTAAAATCTGCCGGGTGGTTGTGGTACACACCTTTAATACCAGCACTTGGGAGGCAGAGGTAGGCGGATCTCTGTGAATCTGAGGCCAGGCAGGCACCAAAGCTACCCAGAGAAACCCTGTCTCAAAAAACCAAAATAAAGTAAAATGTAAAATCTGGGGCTGTAGAGATGGCTCAGTGGTTAAAGGCACTTAACTGCTCTTACAGAGGACCTGGGCTTGACTGGGTGGATCACAGTTGTCTTTAGCTCCAGGGGACCCCTTCTGGTCTCCTTGGGCAGTGCATGCCTTTAATACCAGCACTCTGGAGGCAGAGGCACAAGGAGGTAGATCTTTGTGAGTTCGAGGCCAGTCTGATCTACAGAGCTAGTTATAGTCAATGCCACAAAAAGAAACTGACTTGAAAGACCAAAATAAATAAATAAGTAGATAGATAGATAGATAGATAGATAGATAGATAGATAGATAGATAGATAGCAATAAAGGAGGAGTTGAAGCATATTATTGTCTTTTGGACAACAAAAACAGCATGACAAATTAAATATCAGGAAGTTGTGAATTAAACATTTTATTGACACTGGATTTGTAAGCAGAATGTGTATTTAATGCTATGCATAAATAGTTGTTTTGAGACAGGGTCTCATATAGCCCAGGTTGATTCTGAATTCACTGTTCACTCAAGGATGACCTAGATCCTCCTGCCTCTGCCTCTCGAGTGTTGGGATTATAGGCATGGGCCCCCACGCCTGCTATGCCATTATGGGGCTCAAACCCAGGGCTAGTGTATATGTTATATCAGCATTCTTGCCTGCTGAGCTACATACCCAGCCCCAGTGCATAAATACTTTTGACCAAATTCTTGGCAAACAAGACTGCCCTGAAGGCAGCCATGGTGCTCATTTTTATTTACTTTGTTTTCTGTGCAGTCCTGGGGATTGGCCTCAGAACCCTGGGCATGTTTAAGAAAGTGCTCTGGTGCTAGCTCTGGCCTCAGCCCCTTTTTATTGTTTCGAGACAAGGTCTTGGTAAATTACTTAGGTTGGCCAGAACTTGCAGTCTAGACTCAGCCTCCTGAGTGGCTGGTGTTCCTGGCATATTTCATCATGCCCATCTGGCCCACCTCTTTTAGATTCTCTACTGCCACTCTGAACAACACAGAGAGCTTTTCTCTAGCATGACTGCACACAAAAAAAAAAAAAAAAAAAAAAAAAAAACCTGTACCAGCCCTGGAGAATAATTTAAGACAAACCTCAGAGAACACCAAAGATCTGGCTCACCTAGGTCATATGGGGAGGCATTTCCTCTATGGCTCAGCAGAAAGCTCATAATTGGTGCAAAATGAGGCCTGGAACTGGTGGAACTTGAAATACTGTCGTGACTGGTGCCAATATAATTCTTCCTTTGCATGCCACTTCCCCACAGTCCTCCTTGCTCTATTACCAGGATTGTCTCTTATTTTTTGAATCAACTGTGAAGGCACTCTTCTGTGCTGCCCCCTGGTGTTGCAAAATGAGGCCCAATAAAAGGCTTCTGAAAAATAAGAATTTTAATAGCTTTATTTTAGAAACGGGATGACCCGACTTATATTTAGGAAAGCTTGTATTTCCGGGTATTTTAAAACATTTTCTTTGAGTAATGGTATAGTACAACAAGCCCCATTTAGTCTCTCTGAAATTCATTCTCTTTATCTCCATATTGTACACTACTATGATCGAGTGAGCGTGTGTCAGTAAGAGGCTGTCAAATGCTATTACTCTAGGTACACTGTAGTTAACGTTACTAATAAAGGAACAACGCCATCCTATATTTGTAGAGATTAAGCGATCTGATTTGCCAAGTTAGAAAAGGCAGACATTTAATGAAATAAGAGTTACAAATGCTACCAGGAGCCTGTTATGCACTAAGTGTTAAATGATAGGGAAAGTTTCAATGATGTGGCAAGAGGGAAACAAGGAAAGTACTGTTTATAGGCTAGGTAATAAGAGGTAATTACCCAAAACCAATAGGAATTATTCGTGGATTGCCTGCCAGGTTAAATAGCATGACTTCATATTGTACTGTTCCTTGATCCTTGTTTATATATGTATTGTCCATCGAGACACTGGCGTTCCTATGGCTACTGACCTTTACAGAGAAAGACTGCCTTCATGCTTTAATTTGCTTCATAGAGAACCATTCCAAGTGCATCACACTTTTATAAATGCATTAATTTGGTCTGTAGGTATACTTGAGTGGTACAGTACTTGCTTAGCATGCATGAGACCAGAAATGTTGAAGCACTGGATAAAAAACAAAAACTAAAATGCAAATTATAATTTTTAATTGAATACATAATGTATTACAATTATACGCTGTACAAGGCTCATTATAAAGGGGAAATTCATCCACAGTTCTTACCCTGTTGTAGAGTAACTGTGTCCAAGCCAAAATTCATGTTAAAAAGATGTTTTTTGAGCAATGTCTTATTCCGTAGCCCTGGCTGGCCTGAAATTCAGAGTTTGCCCGCTACTGCATCCTAAGTGCTGGGGTGAAGGAGCGGTTAAATCTTAGCCTCCTGTGTGGTGGCAGGAAACAGATGAATAGACCGTGAACGACAGCACTTATGAGGAGTCCTGCTCTTACACAAGAGCCTCAGAGTACTTTCCTTCTCCTTGGTACCCTCTCAAGTCACAGGAACATGGAAACTGGCCCTTAGCTGATACTGAATTAGCCAGTGCCATCTTAGGTTTCATTCCCTCCATAACTGAGAAACATAATTTAAAAGCTACCCAGTCTGTGGTATTCTATTATAGTGGCCCAAATGGCCAAAGATACTAACATCAATTAGTTTTGCGTTTTAGAGAATGAATTTTCTCAGGCTTTCCTCAAACAGATGTAGGTTAGGACAACCTCAAATGGCTGGTCCTCCTGCCTCCTTATGGGCATGTATCTGCTATATCCAGTTTGGAAATTCTTTTCTTTTTTGAGACAGGGTCTCTCTATGTAGCCCTAGCTGTCCTGAAACTCACTGTCATATGTAGACCAGACTGGCCCCAAACTCACAGCGAACCTCTTGAGGACTGGAATTAAATACCCGAATCACCACGCCTAGCTAAGAAATTTTCTTAATCTCTTTTCATCCTGCCAGTTAGTTTTAGCTGTGAACTCTACACAAACCTGCCGTCACCTGGAAAGAAGGAAATTCAAATTATTGCTCTGATCAGTTTGTCCATAGGCCATGTCTGTGAAGAATTTTATTACTTCTTAATTAAGGTAAGAGGGCCCAGCCGACTATGGGTGGTACCATCCCTAGGCAGGTCAGCCTGGGTTGGAAGAAAGGTAGCTGAGCCAGCCAGTAAGCAGCATTCCACAAGAGCTTTCCTCCCTGGCCTCTGCTTTAGTTCCTGCCTCTGATATCACTTGATCATGGGCTGTTGTATCATGTAAGCCTTGAAATCCATTTATTTATTTACCTATTTTTTTTTTGAGACAATTTCCTTGTGTTGCTGGCTGTCCTGGAATTCTCTGTAGACTAGACTAGCCTCAGACTCATGGAGATCTGTCTGCCTCTGCCTCCCAAGTGTTGGGATTAAAGGCCTGTACCACCACTGTTCTGGTTTTTTGCTCATTTTAAAAGCAGGGTCATACTATGTATTCCTGGCTGGCAATGAACTCATGAATATCCATCTGCCTCTGCCTTCTGGGATTGAGGGCATGCAACACCACATCTAATCCTTTCCTCCCCAGGTTGCTTTTGGTCCTGGTGTTTATCACAGCAGCTGAGAAGCAGATTAGAACAGACACCAGTTCCAAGTGGTCAGCCCTAAACATATACACATACCTGTAGCATGGTCACCATGATGAGACCAGGTAAGTGTTCTATCTGAAGGTACTCTCACCAGGAGAACAAAGGCTACTGCTATCAGGAAAGAGGAAGTTGGAATCAATAGTTTTTCTTCTTCCGTGTTCTTTTATGCACTCTTCTAAACCTCCAAACACCCAACTTTCCCCTTTCAGTTTTGACTTCTAAGTTTTACTACTGCTTTTTTAAAAAACAAATACTTGTGCTTTGTAGATGGCTCAGTGGGCAGACACCTACTACTATGCCTAACGACTTGAGTTTGATCTCTGGGCCCCAGATGTTGGGAGGAGAGAAATGACTCCTGAAAGTTGTTCTGTGAGCATACCTGCACTGTGGCATGTACACCCATGTGTACACACACATGCACACACACACACATACACACACTGTAATACAAAAAAAAAAGCAAGCCAGGGATTGGAGGGCACACACACACCTTTAATCCCAGCACTCAGGAGGCAAAGACAGGTGATCTCTGAGTTCAAGGCCAGCCTGGTTTACAGAGTTAGTTTCAGGACAGCCAGAGCTACACAGAGAAACCACGTCCTGGAAAACAAACAAA